ATCGTATAAAAATCTACTAATGAATTTAAAATGAATTTACTGAACAACTGGGTGTTACCATTTGTGTTTTGATTGAATTTGTTTTCAAAGTATCCCCATTTTCCAAAATATTCCACAGATTCTGAGGAGAAAATTCTAGAAAACTAGAAACATTTCCATGGCCCTGGTGATGCACCAATAAAACTGTAATATATTCAGCACATGGCTCAGTCTTTCAGGAAAGAAAGTGCAGAATAACATCTTCTACACTGCTGGAGGACAGAATGGAATACCATGAGATGGGATTTGCCCAGGGTAATGACTCCTGCTTCTCTTGTCTAAAGTGCTAAAGGATCTTTTCTGACCACAAATACTCAGGAAATCAGTCTTATATCTCATTTATAAGAACTTTATTCATCATTCATTATACAGGTTTCTCTCCTCCCCAGGTTTTCAAAAGGAAGCCAGAGGCGAAGGAGGGGCTCTGGTCTCCTCACCACTTCCTGTCACCTTCATAAAAACCAAGAAGTAAAAAAAGAGAAGAATAAAATTCATTGGCAAAAATGCTGAGTTTCCTGCTGCTTCTGGTGCCTGGTAAGAACCCAGAAATTCTTCCCTGACCCCTACGAAAGACGGGATCCAGCCAGGTGTTCAAGAAGAGCACAGCTTCCTACAGATACATACAGACCAGGACATCAATATGGATCTTTCCAGAGTTCTGGGAATTGGATGCAGAAGTGATGTCAACAAACTGGAGAGAGTTCTGAGAATATCAGTGAAAGTGTTGGGGGCACCTAGGGACTATCCATTGAAGAAGGGTTAATGGAATTAAACATATTCAGCTCAGCCAAACTGCTAGTGAGAAGAGAACTAGGTACTATGACAACAGTATTTGGAGTGTTACATATGAAGGACGAAGGAGAATTGTTTTGGGTAGGAAAAGGTGATGTAACTAGAGGTAAATGGGGTGAAACTGTGTAAAAGGGGGAAACGTTAGTCTAGAAACTAGGAAATGCTTCCTAACAATGAGGATGGACTAGGCTGTGCAATAGTCTCCCAAGGGAAGAGGCAGAAACAGTGCCGCTGAAATAATTAGAGTCTGAACTGGTGATGCCATGGAGATTATGCTATAGGAGCAATCCTACATTGGCTGGGAGAGTGGCAGGCATTTTTAATGTGGTTTCATTGGACTTTTCATTGCTAATTTCTAGGGCTTTGGCTCTGTTTCTCTCACACAGGCTCTGGACTGGGAGTTCTCATCTCTCAATTCCCTAGAACTGCAACCCAGAGACCTGGAGAAACCATGAAGATAACGTGTGTCCAGAATGAAACCAGCTACTCTTACATGTACTGGTACAAGCAGCTCCAGGGAGATGGTCCAAGGTTAATAGCCCAAAGTGTGTATGGGTCCAATGCTACTTATGAGGAGGGGTATAATGCACCCAAGTTTCCAATCACTAGACCCAATACCAGGATCTCTTCCATGAGCATTGTGGATCTGAGAACCCAGGATTCAGCCAGCTACTTCTGTGCTGCCACTGAGTACACAGTGCTGTGAGGAGATCAGCAACTCAATCAGAAACCTTACACCCAAATGAGAGAGAGCTGACAATAATGGAAGAGAGAGAGAGAGATGATGCACACCTGGCTTCAAACCCACAGAGGCATTGTTGGCTTCCCAGAGAAACAGACTTTTTGCAGCAGACACGGGCATGCAAAGTGAAAGACCTCTGGGCACTTGTAGCCTGTATTGTTCAGGGGAACAGCTTAGTTTTTTGTTACTTTGTGAGTTTTGTGTTTCAATTACTATAAATATTATAACAGGGTTCAAAAAGGAACTAGACAAATTCATGGAGGATAGGTCCATCAATGGCTATTAGCCAGGATGGGCAGGGATGGTGTCCCTAGACTCTGTTTGCCAGAAGCTGGGAATGGGCGACGGGATGGATCACTTGATGATGGGGACAGACTGGCTAAGCAGCATTTCCGCAGAAAAGGACCTTGGGATTACAGTGGATGAGAAGCTGGATATGAGTCAACAGTGTGCCCTTGTTGCCAAGAAGGCTAATAGCATATCCTGGGCTGCATTAGTAGGAGCATTGCCAGCAGATCAAGGGAAGTGACTATTCCCCTCTATTCAACATTGGTGAGGCCACATCTGGAGTATTGCATCCAGGTTTGAGCCCCCACCACAGAAAGGATGTGGACAAATTGGAGAGAGCCCAGTGGAGGGCAACAAAAATGATTAGGGGGCTGGGGCACGTGATTTATAAGGAGAGGCTGAGGGAACTGTGCTTATTTAGTTTGCAGAACAGAAGAGTGAGGGGGGGGGGGTTGATAGCAGCCTTCAACTACCTGAAACAGGGTTCCAAAGAGGATGGAGCTCAGCTGTTCTCAGTGGTGGCAGATGACAGAACAAGGAGCAATGGTCTCAAGTTGCAGTGTGGGAGGTTTAGGTTGGATATTAGGAAACACTATTTCACTAGGAGGGTGGTGAAGCCCTGGAATGGCTTACTAGGGAGGTGGTGGAATCTCCATCCTTAGAGGTTTTTAAGACCTGGATTGACAAAGCTCTGGCTGGGATGATTTAGTTGGGGATTGGTCCTGCTTTGAGCAGGGGGTTGGACTACATGCATCCGATGAAGTGACCTGTAGCTCAGGAAACCTTATGCTCAAATAAATTTGTAAGTCTCTAAGATGCCACAAGTACTCCTTTTCTTTTTATGAGGGGGAAAGGAATCCAGGAGAGCTGGCTGTATTTTAAAGAATCCTTATGGAGGTTACAGGGACAAACCATCCCTATGTGTAGAAAGAATAGCAAATATGGCAGGCAACCAGCTTGGCTTAATGGTGAAATCCTTGTTGATTTTAAATACAAAAAAGAAGCTTCTTGGACAACTGACCAGGGAGGAGTATAAAAATTTTGCTCAGGCATGCAGGAGTGAAATCAGGAAGGCCAAATCACACTTAGAGTTGCAGCTAGCAAGAGATGTTAAGAGTAACAAGAAGGGTTTCTTCAGGTATGTTAGCAATAAGAAGAAAGTCAAGGAAAGTGTGGGCCCCTTACTGAATGAGGGAGGCAACCTAGTGACAGAGGATGTGGAAAAAGCTAATGTACTCAATGCTTTTTTTGCCGCTGTCTTCACGAACAAGGTCAGCTCCCAGACTACTGCAATGGCAGCACAGCATGGGGAAGTGGTGACCAGCCCTCTGTGGAGAAAGAAGTGGTTCGGGACTATTTAGAAAAGCTGGACGAGCACAAGTGCATGGGGCCGGATGCGTTGCATCCGAGAGTGCTAAAGGAGTTGGCGGATGTGATTGCAGAGCCATTGGCCATTATCTTTGAAAACTCATGGTGATTTGGGGAAGTCCCGGATGACTGGAGAAAGGCTAATGTAGTGCCCATCTTTAAAAAAGGGGAGAAGGAGGATCCTGGGAACGACAGGCCAGTCAGCCTCACCCCAGTCCCTGGAAAAATCATACAGCAGGTCCTCAAGGAATCAATTTTGAAGCACTTAGAGGAGAGGAAAGTGATCAGGAACAGTCAGCATGGATTCACCAAGGGCAAGTCATGCCTGACTAATCTAATTGCCTTCTATGATGAGATAACTGGCTCTGTGGATGAAGGGAAAGCAGTGGACGTGTTGTTCCTTGAATTTAGCAAAACTTTTGACACGATCTCCCATAGTATTCTTGCCAGCAAGTTAAAGAAGTATGGGCTGGATAAATGGACTATAAGGTGGATAGAAAATTGGCTAGATTGTCAGGCTCAACAGGTAGTGATCAATGGCTCCATGTCTAGTTGGCAGCTGGTATCAAGTGGAGTGTCCCAAGGGTCGGTCCTGGGGCCGGTTTCGTTCAATATCTTCATTTAAGGATCTGGAGGATGGTGTGGATTGCACCCTCAGCAAGTTTGCAGATTACACTAAACTGGGAGGAGAGATAGATATGCTGGAGGGTAGGGATAGGAACCTAGACAAATTAGAGGATTGGGCTAAAAGAAATCTGATGAGGTTCAACAAGGACAAGTGCAGAGTCCTGCACTTAGGACGGAATAATCCCATGCACAGTTACAGACTAGGGACCGAGTTGTAGTAACTACTCAGAGAAGCCAGCAAGATGTAAGTCTAAGCGGGCTCTCCCCAGGCGAACTCCCAGGCTAACTCCCTCTGTTAGCCGCTCTGCTGTTTGCTGCTCAGCTGGTTCGCACCTGACTGGCTTTTTATATAGTTTCATTCCTTTTTATACAGTCAGGACCACTCAAGGCTCACCTGAAACAAGGCACTCCCAATTCACACTTTTCAAACCACCAATCAAGCACACGGTCAAACTTTCCCCACAACAGACACTCAGATATTCACCAACACAGCCTCCCTAATGCAGCCCTTAGTGTACCTCCTCTCAGCAGATCCCAGGCAAACTCCCTCTGTTAGCCGCTCTGCTGTTCGCTGCTTGCTGACATTCTGGCAAGTACAATACATGACTTTGGCATAGGATGGGAAATCAAGTTGAATACTGCATAGCATGAAATTGCAGGGGTGATTTTGAGAACACACCAAAACTTTTAACCCTGTTGGAATTGTCCAGGGGTCTGCTGGAGGCAAACACGGCAGTAGATAGAATGTTCTGGGATCTTTAACCACCATGAATGCTCAGGCCTTGGGTTAAAAGGCTGATTGGGAAGTCTGTAATATAGAGGTAAATATCTGAGACAAAGTGTCATTTCTTTCTTCCCTGACACACTTTTCAGAGCCAAGTGGCAGCAGTGGGAGGGGTATTGCATTCCTCTCACTTCCTGTTGCCTAAGCAAAATTCAAGTGCTACAAGAACCAATCCTGTCACATTTGTTGCTAGAGATGTTGAAAATTCTTCTCCTTCTGATGCCTGGTAAGAAGCCAGAACTCCCAACCTGCAATGGGCATACTGCAGCATGGCTGTGCACAGACTGGGGTGGTGTTGGGCAGAGGCCCCTTTTGTGCCGGGCTAATGTATCTCTGCTCCTTTCCCCCTCGCTCACACAGGGGCTGGGGTTGGAGACCTCATCTTGCAGTGGCCAAGAGCAGCAATCCAGAAACCTGGGGAGGATGTGACCATGAGCTGTTACCAGAACGACACTGGTACCATGCTCTGGTACCAGCAACCCCAGGGAGAAGTTCTGAAGTTAATAGTCATTACTTATATTGGGTCAAGTCCCTCTTATGAGAAAGACTTCGATGAGAGCAAGTTCATAGCTCAGTGGTTTGCGCATTGGCCTGCTAAACCCAGGGTTTTGAGTTCAGTCCTTGAGGGGGCCATTTAGGGATCTGGGGCAAAAATTGGGGATTGGTCCTGCTTTTAAGCACTAGCCACTCTCACAGACAGTGCACCCTGTCTTTGCCCGCACTGCTGGCATTTAACCAACTCCCCAGTGGGTACAATGCTTTGGATTTCCAGGAAAGGAGAAGAAGAAAGAAGCTAGACTACCAGAACTATCTTCTATTAACCTTCTTGGCTATGGCCACTGGAGGGCAACATAGTGCTAACAAAACAAAGCAGCAAAGAGCAAAACCAGAGAAAGAGTCAACAATCTTCCTGGCTATGTCTATTTTGTCTCTAGCTTCACCCGTGTAACACACAGCCAATGACCTGGCTTGGGTGAGAATGTCTGGACACAGGAGAGATGGGGAGAGCCATAGAGTAGGGTGTCCTTGACTTATTGTAAACCTCAAGCATTTGCAGATGCAAATTACTAAAAACTCCCACATTTCTCTGGCACCTGTGCATTCTAATTAGGAAATTGTCACCTATCACCAAAATGTAGCCAATACAGGGATAGAACATGGCAGCTGTCCTTTGCCAGTAATGCTACAAACAGGTCATGTGACTTCTCCCACTGGAACTGCAAAGGGGATTTAAAGAGGCAGAAAGAAATCACCACTTGGCCAGCACACTGACGGAGCAGAAAACTGACATTTCCCAGAATGCTCACGGTCAAGACCATGAAATCCTAATGTTGAAATATTGACACTCTTCAATGTGAAGCATCAGCAGGCTTTCTGTAGTGGGAGATGGGCTCAAGGTGCACACTTTGCATATGAATATCTAACCACTACAATTCTGGGGTGTGCGGATCAGGGTTTTAAGTTCTATCATAAATGGAACACAACATGGCTGCCAACTTGTTCTGGGTGCTTGGCCCCCTCCAATAAGTGCCCTGCCTCATGATCACCAATTCCTCCCCTTGAGTGGTTTTACAGAGCTCCTCCCCCTGAAAAGCATGCTGCGCCTTGTTCAATTATTGAGAATCATCACTCTGTCTTGTCTTTGCTGCAGACGCCATGTGGAGGGCATTGGGTGTCTCCCTTGGCTTCCAGCTGCTGGCCGGTAAGAAACTGTCTCTGATATACTTTGCTGACTACAAGATGGTGCAGTTTTACTTTCTTTAGCATCTGAAATCAGATGCAGCATTAGCGGTAACATGTTTGCTGAATATGAGAGAAATCACAGAGGAGAAGGCTCTATTACCAAATTGGCAAGAGTGTGTTGGACAAAGTGAAGGGGCCTTTGCTAGATGAGTGGAGGAAACTAGAAAGGACCACTTCCAGATGGCAGGAAGTGCACGGGAGAGGGCTTATGTATGACTGTGGTAAGGTTGTATGAAGAGAGACCATTGATAGAAGTGAAGAGGAAGCAGAACAAACACAAGGTCAGTGAGGTGATTAGACCAGTCCGTGGAGGGGTTGAAAATAGGGTGAACAGACATCAAGTGTGAAAAATCGGGATGGGGGTGGGGGATAATAGGAGCCTATATAAGAAAAAAACCCAAAAATCGGGACTGTCCCTGTAAAGTCGGGACATCTGGTCACCCTAGTTGAAAATAAAGGCAGGAGTTTTGAAGGTGAATCCTGAAATGCACAGAGACCAAGTGAGGTATGTTCCATCCGCCCTGGCCTTCATTCACCCTGTCCCCTCCACTCTCCTTTGCAGGTCTTTGCAATGGGGTGATGGTGACACAGAAGGAGAAGTTTATAGCCATCCAGAATGGGAGCAAGGGAAGTTTCCCATGTGAACATGATGACAGCTCCTACTATACTGTCCTGTGGTGTCAGCAAAAGAAGGATTCAGAAAGGTAGTTGCAATTGGTAGCCTTCTCTGTAGATGGGAATCCAGCAATAATAGAAGATCAGTTCCAAACCAGATACAGTGTGGCACGGCCAGCAACGCTGAACACGTCCCTGACGATCAATCTGGGGATGGTTAAAGACACCGCAGTGTATTTCTGTGCAGCAAGTAAAGCACGGTGAGAACTTTGTGCCTCACACCTGTGCAATAACTTGCCAGTGCTGCTCACCTCATGTACTTTCCTACACATATACCTCAGGCCCAACTACACACAGAAATGGTGTGACAGTGGACAGAGATGTCACTTAGGGTATGTCACCAGAGCAAAAAAAAAAAACTACAGGAGTTAACAGTGTAGACATTAGGGTGTGAAACCCCATGATGCAGGAGCATCTTGAAGCCTGATCTCCAGCCCAACATCCATTAGTTTTAGTCATGCAGAATGACCGGGACGGGGGAGAGGGGCAGCCGCCCAGGGTGTAAAGCTGGTGGGGGCGTAAAAATGGGGCTGCCCAGTGGTATCAGCCAGAGCCCAGGGGGCTCAGCGCCCTGTACCCCGCAAGCTTGTGGGTCCATTCACCACAGTGAAGCAGGCTCTCCCTGGCAGTAGGACAGATAGGCAGGCAGGTCTTTGAGTCCCATCTGGTGGGAAGGGCAGAAGGCTGGTTTCAAGCGAGCTATGGGCAACCACTGGAGGTAGGAGACCAGCTGCATAGAGTGCCTGCGGGGGAAAGTGCAGGGTTAGGGGAGAAGGGGGTGCAGGAGGGGAGTGCAGGGTTCACTGAGAAGGGGGCAAAGGAGGGAATGCAGGTGTAATCAGAGTCTGAATGAGCTCTCCCCTGACATCTAGTGGTGAGCTGTGGAAAAAGACTTCAGGAGCTGATCTCCTTTGCATGGGCACACCCACCCTGCCTAGGTGATCAGTATGATGGGATTGCTTGCCCAAATGATCACTTTTGGCTGGTGTGGAATCCCCAGTCTCCTTGTTACTGGGGCAGGAGTAATAAAGCGCTGTTATCCTTGTTGTGTGAATCAAGGACAGCAGAACTGTACTTGACATTTCCTGACTGAGGGACTCTCCCTCAACTCACAGCACTCACTAGTCAGGGGATAGGGGTTCCAAAGCCCAGTAAATTGAGTGAGGGTAGGGATGAGTGATTGTACATAGCAGCATAGGCCTTGCCTAAGGGTTCTAGACACCATTAGACACTCTCTTTTTCCACTGTGTCATAATAAAGCTAATTTAGACTTAATTAAGGGTCTTGTTATGTACTGCAGAGCTGAAATCACTGGCACCTAGATAAGGGTGGCTGCTGGAGTGGCTTGGTGAGCAGCCAGCAGGGTGGCTGCTGCAGCAGAGTGACAGAGCAGAGCCCCACAGAAAGGGACCATGAGTGAGAGCCTGAGTAGTGGAGCAAATAAGCTGCCTCCTTTCCCTCACATCCAGGGTGGGAGGTGAACTCTGCAGATGCACTTCTGAACTCTGGGTTTCCATTGTCCCAAGACAGCAACTGTGAGTGGGGTGCAGAGAAGGGATGGGCACGTTAAAGGGACTTTTGAGTTGCTGGACTTAAGAACCTGAGAGGAAAAGGACACTGCCCAACTTACTTGGTGGTGGGTCTTTTGCATATGGTTTATGTTTATGAATCCTGTTTGCGGTGTTTCCCCAAATTAATGCTGCATTATTTCCCTCCTTTTATTAAAAAGTTTTTTGCTACATTCAAACTCTGTGCTGGCGAGAGGTGAAGTATTGCCTCTTAGAGGTGCCTGGGGGGTAGTGTGTAATTGTCCCAGGTCACTGGGTGGGGGCTCAAGCCAGTTTTGTGTTGCATTGTTGAAAAGGAACCCCTAGATACTGAAGCAGGCCCTTGCTGCCACCAACTCTGACTGGCAGAAGGGTTACACAGCGTTAGGGGAGAAGGGGCTGCAGGAGGGGAGTGCAGCATTTGGGGAGAAGGGGTGCAGGAGGGAAGTGCAGGGTTGGGGAGAAGAGGGTGCAGGAGGGAAGTGCAGGAGTTAGGGGAGAAGGGGGCGCAGGAGGGAAGTGCAGGAGTTAGGGGAGAAGGGGACGCAGGAGGGGTGTGCAGGGTTAGAGGAGTGTTACCCAGGGTTTTTTTTTAACCCAAAGCTCTTGGTAACTTTTACTTTCTGCAAGGTGGTGTTAGGAAATAAATTAAGAGAGACCCAGCCATCCAACTGATAGATGGCTGGCACAAACAGGACAACACAAGAGTGCTTTTACTTAAAGCTAAACTTTACTTAGTCTTAAGCACTTACACACGTCTGGAACAGGTTAGTAAAACACCCCCAACCCTCGATAATTACTGAATCTGAGTGTAGCTTTCGAGTGGCACAGCGACAGCCTTCCGTCGGCCAAACTTCCTTCTGCCGGTGGGGACCCCAAGATGTGTCCAGAGGGAGTGTTCCTGAAGAAACCTTCCCGAAGAGTTCAGCTACCTTAAACTTTTTCCCCTTATTTATACATTAGTAATACGACATATTACTTAAAGAAAACTTGCTAAGCAAGCAGTTTTTAAATGTTAAGCAAGAGGTTTTTTTATGACCGTTAATTAACCAGATATGTTTTTTTAGAGTGTTTATGCCTTGAGGCTCTGACAGACACATTCTTGAAGGCAAAAATAGACAAGCTTTCTGTTTTTTTAAAAATACATATATCAGCAATTTTAACATTCTTAGCAGGAAGGACACGGGGTCAAGCTGCCCTTTCTGTGGCACGCAGTACCCCCTTTCCTCTTGCTTTGGTTAAGCTAAGGCCACTACATGGCCAATTTACGGCCTGCTGACTTGGCTCCTATTAGCAATAAGCAATAGTGGTTTCAGGCACTTTACTGGTTTGCCAAAGTTTTTCCGTACAGGAGAAGGGTCGCAGGAGGGGAGTGCAGGGTTAGGGAAGAAGAGGAAGCAGAAGGGGAGTGCAGGGTTAGGGAGATGTGGGTATAGGACAGGAGCGTAGGGTTAGAGGAGAAGGGTCAAAGGTGGGGAGTGCAGGGTTAGGGGAGAAGTGGAGAAGGAATGGAGTGCAAGGTTAGTGGAAAAGAGGAAGCAGGAGGGCAGTGCAAGGTTAGGGGAGAAGGGGGTGCTTCTGTCAGTGAAACTTATGTCGGTCAACTGGATTTTTTTTCACAACCCTTATCAACAAAAGTTTTACCAACAATAGTGCTAGTGTGTATATAGCCTTAGTTGTATGGCTGAAATATGACCATTGGATATCATTGTTGCTACCACTGTTACAGAATTGCAACAAATCTTGTAAAAAGTATATCATGTAAGGTGTCAATGGAAAAGTTATGATTTACTAAGTATGTTTATTGTGTGTATATCTGTGTGTCATCACTGTACCTGAATATGAATATTGGCTATATAGATCTATATACCAAATGTGTTTATTTCTGGGGTAGTACACAGAAGGTATAATTTACATTGAAGCCCAACAGCTTTGTATTGATGGCCCATGAAGGGCAATTGACTCTCACAATGAGCCAGAGAAGAAGCTTATCCATGTCCGGTGAGCCTTCCTGTGGATGATTTAGAAAGAATATGGGCAATGGCTGCTCCTGTGAATCAGCAAGCCATGTAAGGGCATGTGACTTCTTCTTTGACGCTGGACTCTATCTTGGGCCTGTAATTTTCCACAAACTGAGATAGAAATTTGTTTGGGACAGTAAAATTCCATCCACATGGGAGAGGGTATAACATCTGGAAACATCACCATGTTGTCTTCATTTCCTCCTTCATTTCTCTGGGCTGGATTTCTAACAAGGAAGATCTAAACAAGGACTGATGACCCCCAGACTCTTTGGGTAATTTCCAGAGAGACTTTTGCACAGTAGTAGTTTATTCCATCACTGCTTCAAACCTGATATAAGAACTTTGCAGTCTCTTGTATGTAAATTATTTTCTTAACCATGTTAACTCTCTTCTTCCTTTCTCTTATGAATAAACCTTTAGATTTTAATTACTAAAGGATTGGCAGCAGCATGATTATTGGGTAAGATCTGAGTTAAAAATTGACCTGGCTCTGTGGCTGATCTCTTGAGATCATAGAATCATAGAAGATTAGGGTTCAAAGAAACCTCTGGAGGCCATCTAGTCCAACCCCCTGTTCAAAGCAGGACCAACCCCAACTAAATCATCCCAGCCAGAGCTTTATCAGCTGGGCCTTAAAAACCTCTAAGGATGGAGATTTCACCACCTCCCTAGGTAACCCATTTCAGTGATTCACCACCCTCCTAGTGAAAAAGTTTTTCCTGCTATCCAACCTAGACCTCCCCCACTGCAACTTGAGACCATTACTCTTTGATCTGGCATCTGCCATCACTGAGAACAACCTAGCTCCATCCTCTTTGGAACCTGCCCTTCAGGTAGTTGAAGGCTGCTATCAAATCCCCCCTCACTCTTCTCTTCTGCAGACTAAATAATCCCAGTTTCCTCAGCCTCTCCTCATAAGTCATGTGCCCCAGCCCCTTAATCATTTTCTTTGTCCTCCGCTGGACTCTCTCCCATTTGTCCACATCCTTTTTTTGGGGGGGAAGGGGAGGGCAAAACTGGACGCAATACTCCAGATGTGGCCTCACCAGTGCCAAATAGAGGGAAATAATCACTTCCTTTGATCTGCTGGCAATGTTCTTACTAATGCAGCCCAATATGCTGTTAGCCTTCTTGGCAACAAGGCCACACTGTTGACTCATACCCAGCTTCTCATCCACTGTAATCCCCAAGTCCTTTTCTGCAGAACTGCTGCTTAGCAAGTCAGTCCCCAGCCTGTAGCAGTGCATGGGATTCTTCCATGCTAAGTGCAGGACTCTGCACTTGTCCTTGTTGAACCTCATCAGATTTCTTGTGGCCCAATCCTCCAATTTGTCTAGGTCATTCTGGGCCCTATCCCTACCTTCCTCTCCCGCCATTTTAGTGTCATCTGAGAACTTGCTGAGGGTGCAATCCATCCCATCATCCAGGTCATTAATGAAGTTGTTGAACAAAACTGGCCCCA